TCAGGAAGGAATGCCGTGGTACCAAAACGTGATCCAGATGGAGTATCAGAATAGAGAGAGAGCGTTGCCCAAACCATGTTTTCACTTTTGGCTTTGGATTGCAATCTCTGGAGGACTAATTTACTTTGAAGCGTACACACATGCATGATTGCAACATTATTTTAATTTATTTATTTATTTATTTATTTAATAAATAAATAATAGGCCTGGGTAACAACGGAAAAATTTGTTTCTAAAATCGATTTGTATTTGGGGGTTTTTTTTGTTTCGATATTTAAAATAATTACAAAAATTTCCTTTTAAAAAGTTCGATATTTACGAAATTTCGTAAATGGTAAAAAATTAACGAATCGATTTCCGAAACAATAACGAATCGATTCGTTAATGGCGGACGCGACCGCGAAATACGCTAAAAAACCTCCAAAACCTTCTGAAGCTTCCCTCTCCCTCTGTTGTCTGACTGTTGGTGTGATATTATAATTTTTCACTAATTAAACCATAAAACTGGCCCAGACATGCGGAAATAATAACGAAACGACCTCAAAACAATAACGAAACGAATACAATATCGAAATACGAAGCATTTACAAAACGTTTTTGAAAATTCGTTTTTTAATAATTGCTCCAGAATGGTTCGTTATCGTTTTGTAATTGAAAAAATTAACGAATTATTAACGAATTACGAATTAACGAAACGAAACCGCCCAGCCCTAATAAATAAATAAAATAATGGACTTTGGTTTTGGACTTCAACTCTTTGAAGAGAATTCTCTATTTTTAGAGATGGTCCAATGTTACACATCATTAGTATATACACTCGCCTTGCTATGGCTTTGATAGAGAAGGATGTGGCTCTTTCACAGGTGCGGGCAGGTAACTCTGTTTTTGATAAAAGCTCCCAACTTACTCTGCCTATCAACAGACATGCTTATAGCCTTTATTGCAGCGCACACACATATATAGATAGGTATGTATATAGATATGGCGTAAGAATGTAAAGCTTGTTGTTTTAGGGAGATAGTCAACTTCCATGAAGGCAGGTCACCAGAAGCTGTGGATAGGGACAGCAGGAAGGTGTGTCTAGCTTTCTTTGCCTATGGCCAGAATTGAGTAAAATGTCTTCCTGCTTCACCAACAAGCTTTTCTTCTTGATGCCAATATATATCTATATAAATAAAAATGTAATGTTCGTTTGTGGGATTAACAGAACTCAAAAACCACTGGACGAATTGACACCAAATTTGGACACAAGACACCTAACAACCCAATGTATGTCCTTCACGCAAAAAAATTGATTTTGTCATTTGGGAGTTGTAGTTGCTGGGATTTATAGTTCACCCACAATCAAAGAGCATTCTGAACTCCACCAATGATGGAATTAAACCAAAGGTGATACACAGGACTCCCATGACCAACAGGGTTTGGTGGGCATTGACCTTGAGTTTGGGAGCTGTAGTTCACCTACATCCAGAGAGCACTGTGGACTCAAACAATGATGGATCTGGACCAAATTTGGCACGAATACTCAATATGCCAAAATGTGAACACTGGTGGAGCTTGGCACGAATATTCCATATGCCCAAATATGAACATATATGGAGTTTGGGGAAAATAGACCTTGATATTTGGGAGTTGTAGTTACTGGGATTTATAGTTCACCTACAATCAAAGAGCATTCTGAACCCCACGAACGACAGAATCGGGCCAAACTTCCCACACAGGAGCCCCCGGTGGTGCAGTGGGTTAAAGCCTTGTGCCAGCAGGACTGAAGACCGACAGGTCGCAGGTTCGAACCCCGGGAGAGGCGGATGAGCTCCCTCTATCGGCTCCAGCTCCTCATGCGGGGACATGAGAGAAGCCTCCCACAAGGATGATAAAACATCAGAAATCATCCAGGCGTCCCCTGGGCAACGTCCTTGCAGACGACCAATTCTCTCACAACAGGAGCGGTTGCTCCTGACACGAAAAAAAACCCCATGACTCACAAAAAATACTTAAGGCCACCCAGTCCAACTCCCTTCACCAAGGCAAGAAAACGTAATCAAAGCCCTCCTGACAAAGAACCATCCAGCCATAGATAGATAGATAGATAGATAGATAGATAGATAGATAGATAGATAGATAGATATGATTCACACACACACAGATATAGTATCATAGATTTGAAAGGGACCCCTAAAGAAGGACAATGATATGTTGCATGTTCCAGAGTGGGCAAACCAGACACTCTCCACATCAACACTGACAAAGAAACAACAAGAAATACTGTTTACCCACAAGCAGAAAGAAATTACATAGATTAGAAACCATTACTTTATTTTCCAGATCACCAGACTGGGCCACAGCAACGCGTGGCAGGGAGACGGCTAGTATTTAATATAAATATATATAAAACTAGCTGTACCTGCCACGTGTTGCTGTGGCCAACCTTCCCTCCCTTTCTCTTTCCTCCTTCCTTTCCTCCTTCCTTCCTCCCTTTTTTCTTTCCTTCTCTCCTTCCTTCCTTTTCCTCCTCTTCCCTTCCTTCCCTCCTTTTCATTCCCTTCCCTTTTCTCCCCTTTCTTCCTTCTCTACCTATTCTTGGACTGCAACTCCCAGCAGTCTTCCTGATCGATCTGTCCACCTAATATCTATCTCTATCTAATCTATCTATCTGGAGGATTGCTGGGAGTTGCAATCCAGGAATAGGAAATTGGAAATATGCCGGGCTTGGAATGCTCTCAAAGAAATTCAAGGAGAAGATTCATCTTGGAAGCAGTGCATTTGGAGCATCCTCCTCCTCTCCTAAAGGGCCTGGTCTAGGGGATGCTGGGAGCTGTAGTCCGGAAGAGAGTGTGGATATGCTGTTGTGTGTTTTGTTTGCAGGGGAGTTGTTTTTGCGCATGCGCTGTAGCATCTTTTTGGGTTTTTTTTTGCTTTTTAAGTCCTTTCTGCTGTGTTTTTCTGTGTGTTTATGAGTGATGGTCACTCGTTGGCCTGAGAGGAGCATTGTGTCCAAATATGGTGTCAATTCGCCCAGTGGTTTTTGAGTTATGTTAATCCCACAAACAAACATTACTAGACGTCCCCTGCCATGCGTTGCTGTGGCCAACTCTGGTGGTCATGAGGGTTCTGTGTGGGAGGTTTAGCCCAATTCTACCGTTGGTGGGGTTCAAAATGCTCTGTGTTTGTAGGTGAACTAAATCCCAGCAACTACAACTCCCAAATGTCAAATTCTATTTTCCCCAAACTCCACCAGTGTTCACATTTGGGCATATTGAGTGCTTGTGCCAAGTTTGGTCTAGATCCATCATTGTTTGAGTCCACAGTGCTCTCTGGATGTAGGTGAACTACAACTCCAAAACTCAAGGTCAATGCCCACCAAACCCTTCCAGTATTTTCTGTTGGTCATGGGTGAACTGTGTGCCAAGTTTGGTTCCATTCCATCGTTGGTGGGGTTCAGAATGCTCTTTGATTGTAGGTGAACTATAAATCCCAGTACGTACAACTCCCAAATGTCTAGATTCTATTTTTCCTCAAACTCCACCAGTGTTCACATTTGGCCATATTGAGTATGTGTGTAGAGTTTGGTCCAGATCTATCATTGTTTGAGTCCACCGTGATCTCTGGATGTAGGTGAACTACAACTCCAAAACCAAAGGACACTGCCCACCAAACCCTTCCAGTATTTTCTGTTGGTCATGGGAGAACTGTGTGCCAAGTTTGGTTCAATTCCATCGTTGGTGGGGTTCAGAATGCTCTTTGATTGCAGGCGAACTATAAATCCCAGCAACTACAACTCCCAAATGACAAAATCATTTTTTTGAGTGAAGGACATACATTGGGTTGTTTGGTGTCTTGTGTCCAAATTTGGTGTCAATTCGCCCAGTGGTCTTTTGAGTTCTGTTAATCCCACAAACGAACATTACATTTTTATTTATATAGACTAGCTATCCCCTGCCACACGTTGCTGTGGCTCAGCCTTCCCTCTTTCTCTCCTTCTTTCCCTCCTTCCTTCACTCCCTCTTTCCTTCCTTCCTGTCTTTCCTTCTCTTCTTCCTTCTCTATCTCTTTCCTTCCTTTCCCCTTTTCTTTCTCTTCTGCTGTCTCTCTTTTCTTCTTCTCTTTCCCTCCCTCCTATCTTCCCCCTTCCTTCCTCCTCTTTCTCTCCTTCTTCCTTTTTCTCCTTCTCTTCCTTCCTCTCTCTTTCCTTCCTTCCCCCTTTTCCTTCCCTTCTTCCTTTCTTCCTTCCTTCTCTTTCCTTCCTTCCTTTCCTTCCTTCCTTCCTTCCTTCCTTCCTCTTTCTCTCCTTCTCTTCTCTTTCTTTCTTTCCTTTCTTTCTTTCTTTCTTTCTTTCTTTCTTTCTTTCTTTCTTTCTTTCTTTTCTTTCTTTCCCCTTTCCTCCCTCTTTCTTCCCTTTTTTCTGTATTGTCATTTAGCTTTTCATCATTTAGCTTTTTAGGGCTTTTAAAGTCCCTTCGGCTGTGTTTTTTAGTGTTTTTATGAGTGCTGGTCACTCGTTGGCCTGATACGTGCCTTGTGTCCAAATTTGGTGTCAATTCCCCCAGTGGTTTTTGAGTTCTGTGAATACCACTAACGAACATTACATTTTTATTTATATATAGTTTTGTGCATGCGTTGTAATGCATTTGGAGGGGGGGCTTTTAAAGTCTCTTCTGCTATGTTTTTCCGTGTTTTTATGAGTGATGGTCACTCATTGGCCTGAGAGGTGTCTTGTGTCCAAATTTGGTGTCAATTCCCCCAGTGGTTTTTGAGTTCTGTGAATGCCACAAACGAACATTACATTTTTATTTATATAGATTGCATCTCTATTTATTCAAGTTACAGCAAAGGGTATCGGCATGCCTACGGATACCTGCAAAGAGCAGCATTCTTCTCTATCAAAGTTATAGCAAGGCTAGGATATACTAATGGTTGTTCTTTCGAACCACGTTCCTTTCCGTACTTTCCCCAAAGCCCAAGCCTTAATGCCTCCCCTTCTCTCTCCCTTCCCATCCCAGTACAATTATAGTGAGCTGGACAACGAGGGGAACTACTCCGACTACCTCTGCGAAGAGGAGCCCGAGGCCGGGGCGCATTTCTTCAAGTTCCTGGTGCCGACGGTCCACTTGCTGATCTTCCTCCTGGGTGGCCTGGGCAACCTGCTGGTGATGGTGACTCTGTGGCGCTACCGCCGGGCGCGCACCTCCACGGAGGTCTTCCTCTTCCACTTTGCGCTGGCCAACCTGCTGCTGGTGGCCATGTTCCCCTTCGGGGCGGCCGAGAGCCTGGCCGGCTGGGTCTTTGGCACCGTCCTCTGTAAGGCTCTGAGCGCCACCACCCGGGTCAGCTTCTACAGCAGCAGCCTGTTGCTGGGATGCATCAGCGTGGATCGCTACCTGGCCGTGGTGCATGCGCTGCGCACCTTCCAGAGGCCGCGCTCCCTCTCCATCCACCTGACCTGCCTGGCGGTCTGGCTGATGTCCGTCTTGCTGGCCATGCCGGACTTGCTCTTCACAGAAGTCTGGCCCGAGAACGGCAACCTCAGCATCTGCTACTTCAAGAAGTACGGTGCGCAAGGTGTGCGCTCCTGGCTGGCCACCCGCTTCCTCTACCACGTGGTGGGCTTCTTCCTCCCCGCGGCCGTCATGTGCTTCTGCTACTCGGCCATCGTCAGGATGCTCTGCCGCTCCCAGCGCCTGCAGCGGCAGAAGGCCGTCAAAGTGGCCATCCTGGTCACCTGCGTCTTCCTGCTCTGCTGGGCCCCCTTCCACATTGTCACCTTCTGCGACACGCTGACCAGGCTGGCCCCTGACTCCTGCACACATGGGTACGGCCTGGCCGTGGCCATTGCGCTGACCGAGCTATTGGGCTACAGCCACTGTGGACTCAACCCGTTCCTCTACGCCTTTGTGGGCGCCCGCTTCCGCCATGACGCCTGCCGGGTCCTGCACGACTTGGGCTGCCTGAGCCAAGGCGCCTTGCAGAACGTTCTGGGTTCGCGAGGAATAGAGAGCACCACGGAGACCACCGGATCCAACAGCCGCCATGGGGCCTCACCTTGCGCCATGAATCCTTTGACCCCATCGTCTTTGGGCTCGTCTTCCCCCCCAGTGGCCACTGGGCAATGGCTCCGTGCGGACACCCAAGACCCAGACCAGCCAATGCTTCCAGACCAAAGCTTGGCCTAGGAACGAGACTCACCTGTCGCCTTCCTGGAACGAAGGTGTCCAGTTTCTTTGGGGGACAGACAATATCCTTGCTCCATTGGCCTGGAAATCCATCCTCAGAGGTGGCTTAGGAAGCTGCCTTTGCTTATGGCCACCAGGGTCTTGCTTTCTAGGTCACCTGCAGAATTGGCAAATGCAATACAAAGGGAACTTGACCTGCTCCGCTTTCCCATGGGTCTTTTCCTGAGCAACCAATCCCAAGTTCTAGAACAGGTATGGACAAACTTGGGCTCTCCAGGTTTTTTGGACTCCAACTCCAACCATTTCTAACAGTCTCAGGCCCTGTTCTTTTCCCCCTTGGCAGCCTCGGTCCCTTTCCTTTCCCGCCTCAGCAGCCTCGGTCTCTTTCCTTTTCCCCCTCGGCAGCCTCAGTCCCTTTCCTTTCCCCCCTCAGCAGCTTCAGTCCCTGTCGTTTTCCCCCTCAGCAGCCTCAGTCCCTTTCCTTTCCCCCCTCAGCAGCTTCAGTCCCTGTCGTTTTCTCCCTCAGCAGCCTCAGTCCCTTTCCTTTTCTATTTCGGCAGCCTCAGTCCCTCTCGTTTCCTCCCTCAGCAGCCTCAGTCCCTGTCCTTTCCTCCTTGGCAGCCTCAAGCCCTTTCCTTTCCGCCCTTAGCCACTTAAGCAGCTGAGGGGGAAAAGGAAGGGGCCTGAGGCTGTTAGGAATGGTGAGAGTTGAAGTCCAAAACACATGAAGGGCAGAAGTTCACCCATATCTGGTTTAGCCCACCGCTGCAAACTGAGTTAAAAATGCAGAGTTGTTTGCGCTCACTGAACTCAAGCAGCAAGCAGAAAGGAAGGTGTTGGCCCTGGCTCTTCCCTGGAGGCTCTGACTTTTGCAAAAACTGTAGTTTCCAACGCTGTATATTTGCAATCAAGAATGAATGGACTCAGACATACTTGATAAGTGAGTGGACAATATTGAATGAAGGAGGTGGAGATAATGGAAGGGTGTAGAGAAATGTGATTATTGACATATTTCATGTATTAATTGTATAAACCCTCCCATAAAACAAAGTATCAATAAAAACCTACATCCAGAGAGAAAATAAATAAATAAATAAAAATGCTGTATATTTGCAATCTTCCACACCATATATATTGTGCATGCATTCCTAGCTGTTGCAGCTGGTAACCTGCAGTGCACTGAGCTTGACAGATCAAATACAGGGTGCAAACATCAAGTCTCGTTCCTATTTTGCAAAACGTCTTGCTTCTCAATGAGTCAAGTACAGTAGAGTCTCGCTTATCTGACATTCCGTCTTATCTGACAATCTTATCTGAAGCTCCTCTTTTCCTCCAGCATTTCCCCTTCAATTAAAGGAGTGTTCCACAACTCTCTCTCCATTCCCAATAAACAAAAAGGGCTAGACGAGGAGGGAGGAAAGGGTTCGGAAAGAGGCAGGACCGGAAGCAGAAGCATCCTCTATCCTTCCTTCTGTGACTTCCACGCTCCTCTTCTGCATCCTGCTGGAACCGTCTAGCCCTGAGGCATTGCCTAGCCTTAACTCTTTAACTCCGTATTGTTAGTATTCTGGTGCCTAGCATCGCGTGGGACGGATAACAGTAGGAGACTCCGTATTATCTGACATTTTCATTTATCTGACGTTCTGCCGGCCTGTTTATGTTGGATAAGCAAGACTCTACTGTACAAGGAATCATGAGGAAATGCATTGAGTTCCCTGTACTCGCATCCGGTTTTTGGAGAAATAGGATGCTAAGTTGTTGATCTAAGACAGACATATACAAGCTTCAGTCCTCCAGGTGTTTTGGACTTCAACTCCCACAATTCCTAACAGCCGGTAGGCTGTTAGGAATTGTGGGAGTTGAAGTCCAAAACACCTGGAGGACCCAAGTTGATACAGCTCTCTTAAGTGTTCTTTCAGGTGTAGTTGTTTACATTGTTTACACACTGTTCTCTTTATATTGTTTTCAAACATTCCAATAATAATAATAGTAATAAAAAGACCTTCGACATCAAGCTTTGGATGTATTTGAAAGTATTAACACTGAAACCATCGAGGCTCAGGAAGAGGGTGGGGATGGAGGAGACCCAAAAAGGCGCCGGGCGGGCAGCACAGGTTTTTGAAATGTCTCTTTTTAATAAAAAGGCACCTATAAAACAGGTCAATCAATACGTTACAGGCAGCACAAGATACCCAAAAAAAACAAAGCCTAGAAATCATTTCAAAATAAAAACCAATAAGATGTCTTCACATATTGTATTTATATATTTATATTTATATATATAATATTTATAGAATGGTACAAAATGCATGGGGGTGGGCGGGAAGGGGGTCGTTCCCTGTCCCTTTTGTGGGATGGCAAGGGTGGGCCGGGGCGCAAACGCAGGCGCCGGAAGAGAGGGCGGCCCCAAATCCCACTGGGAGCAGGACGGGAGCAGGCGCCGTTGTGGCCGGAGACAAGAGGAAGACGAGAAGGAAGACGAGGAGGAGGAGAGGAAGATCGGGCAGACCTCAGCAGACGACACTCAAGCCAGAGAGCCGAGCAAGAAAGTACAAGAGACACGAGACAGGACGACATTCAGAGCGCAAGGCGAAGGAAGGAGGGAAAGAAGGAAAGAAAGAAGGAAGGAAGGCGAGAGGAGGAGAATCACGGGACCTAGAGAACATCTGCCTGGCCAAGTTGAAGCCAATAGACCACCCTATTGCTGGCCAGAACGAGGTGCCACAGTCATGCCCAGCCGCCCATTACTTTCCTTTGACTTTGGGGGCAACCACACCAAACGCCCAGCAGCCACCAAAACACCTCCTCAGCCTCTGCCTCATCAGGTGTGGAGGCAAGTACATTGCTGCCTTCACGTGCCTTCGTCTGCTAACAGGGACAGCAGGTTATGAGTCTGGACTAGGTATGGGCAAACTTTGGACCTCCAGGTGTTTTGAACTTCAACTCCCACCATTCCTAACAGCCTCAGGCCCCTTCCCTTCCCCCTCAGCTGCTTAGGCGGTTGAGGGAGAAAAGGAAAGGGACTGAGGCTGCCGAGAGGAAAAAAGAAAGGGACTGAGGCTGCCGAGGGGGAAAAGGAAAGGGACTGAGGCTGCCGAGGGGGAAAAGGAAAGGGACTGAGGCTGCCGAGGGAGAAAAGGAAAGGGACTGAGGCTGCCGAGGGGAAGGAAAGGGACTGAGGCTGCCGAGGGGGAAAAGGAAAGGGACTGAGGCTGCCGAGGGAGAAAAGGAAAGGGACTGAGGCTGCCGAGGGGGGAAAGGAGAGGGACTGAGGCAGCCAAGGGGGGAAAGGAGAGGGACTGAGGCTGCCGAGGGGGGAAAGGAGAGGGACTGAGGCTGCCGAGGGGGGAAAGGAGAGGGACTGAGGCAGCCAAGGGGGGAAAGGAGAGGGACTGAGGCTGCCGAGGGGGGAAAGGAGAGGGACTGAGGCTGCCGAGGGGGGAAAGGAGAGGGACTGAGGCTGCCGAGGGGGGAAAGGAGAGGGACTGAGGCTGCCGAGGGGGGAAAGGAGAGGGACTGAGGCTGCCGAGGGGGGAAAGGAGAGGGACTGAGGCTGCCGAGGGGGGAAAGGAGAGGGACTGAGGCTGCCGAGGGGGAAAGGAAAGGGACTGAGGCTGTTGAGGGGGGAAAGGAGGGGGACTGAGGCAGCCAAGGGGGGAAAGGAGAGGGACTGAGGCTGCCGAGGGGGGAAAGGAGAGGGACTGAGGCTGCCGAGGGGGGAAAGGAGAGGGACTGAGGCAGCCAAGGGGGGAAAGGAGAGGGACTGAGGCTGCCGAGGGGGAAAGGAAAGGGACTGAGGCTGTTGAGGGGGGAAAGGAGGGGGACTGAGGCGGCCAAGGGGGGAAAGGAGAGGGACTGAGGCTGCCGAGGGGGAAAGGAGAGGGACTGAGGCTGCCGAGGGGGGAAAGGAGAGGGACTGAGGCAGCCAAGGGGGGAAAGGAGAGGGACTGAGGCTGCCGAGGGGGAAAGGAAAGGGACTGAGGCTGTTGAGGGGGGAAAGGAGAGGGACTGAGGCTGTTGAGGGGGAAAAGGAAAGAGACTGGGGCTGTCGAGGGCGAAAAGGAGAGGGACTGAGGCTGCCGAGAGGGGAAAGGAAAGGGACTGAGGCTGTTAAGAATGGTGGGAGTTGGTCCAAAACACCCTGAGAGCCCCAATTTGACCTTGCCTGATTTGCAGGAATACCCATACTGGCAGACTCACTCGCTGGAAGACTGAGCAGTGTGTTATCCACTGGCTGACACCAATCTTGCCAGAGAAAGAGAGAGAATGGAAGGAGGATGCAACAAGAGGGATGCTGCTACTCTTGTCTCTTAAGATAAGCACACAAAGGGGTGCAAGATGGGAACCAGCAGCACTTGCAGAAAATGGAAGAGCAGACCACACGTCCCAATAGCGAAGGTAGTTTCAAAAGGGGCCAATAAGGCCCAAACACTAAGAGAACGGGTGGGAGGTGGAATGCAGGTGGAGACCAAAATAGGGAAGACCTGGCTCCATGCCTCTCCTTTTCCCCCTTTCTGCATGTCTCCTGGGAGACATGGCTGAAGGCCTTTACTGCCCAAGCGATGAAGAAGCCACTGCCCTACACCTGGGGAGCCCCACATACCTCTTTCCCCCACAGAAAGGCAGGTTCCTTCTCTGCCATCACAGTCCCCGTCCTCCTTCAAATGGGTGTCATCCGTCATGGAAGGTCCGATTCCACCCCTGCCCTCAAACACATTCAAAACTAGACACATGCACACGTAACCGTGAGTTATGCCTGCTACACCAGCACCAGCAGTCCAGCCACGACCCAAGTGAGTCATAAGGGACTATCCCTTGCACACAGCATGCCTACTGCGGTGACCCCTTGTGAACAAAGGAGCCAATGGGGTGGTTTGGAAATGTGGTTTTGGGCCAATGACATACAGAGGCCAGGGGCTGGTGGTGGGGCAGCATGGGGCGGAGGCGAGAAGGGTTGTCAACTTGCCACACAGAGAGATTTGGACACTGGGAGTCGCCCCGGGGCCAACGGTGGGACAAGGCAGCCGTGCCCTCTGACCCCGGGGATTTCCCTAATTTAACTTTCTTAACAGGTTGCATTTTTTTGTCTGCTCGTTTCTTCCCAAAACAGGTTATTTTGAGGCTTCTATTAAAACACAGAAATACAAACAAATCCAAGCCAGCAACTCTTTGCTGTTGCTCCCTGCTATTTACAGCTGCTCCGAACCCTCTTGCGCATTTTGGTTGCATTTTTTCAAAAACAAGAGGAAGAGAGGAGACGAATCCGGACTCAGAGGAGAGGTTCAAACCAAACTCCGTGCCGGGGCAGAGGTGGAGCCAGCACGACGCGCTCCTGCGGCAAAAGGGTCCCTTCAGAAAGGCAAGTTGGCCATGCCGCCAGTGCCCGGTCCGTAGCCCATCTGGCCGTCGAGGGAGACGCTGCGCTGGCGCATGGGGTGGGAGAGCATGAGGTTCTGCTGGGGCGGGGGACCCATGAGCGAGCCCTGCGGGGACATCATGTGCCCGCCCGGCTGCGGGTACATCTCCCCCGAGACGGACATGCTCCGCTGCTTGGCCTGCATGAGCAGGAAGTTCTGCTGGGCCAGGAGGTTCTGCTGGGGCAGCATCATAGCCTGGTGCATGCCGCCCCCGCCCAACATGGCCGCCTGCTGCTGCTGCGGTGGGAGGCCTGTCCTGCCCAGCATGGGCACCTGTCCCGGGTGGCACAGGCCCATGCCGCGCTGCATGCCCTGGGGGCCAGGCCGGGCCGGGACCTGCTCCGCCATCATGTTCTGCAGGTTCATGAGGTGCAGGTTGGAAGGGGGTGGTGGGGGCTTGGGCACACCCCCGGGCCCCTCTCCTTTGGGGAAGTACTGCAGCGTGCTGCTGGGCTTCTCCGAAGGGATGATGCGCGAGAGGTCGAACTCGGGGATGCCAGTGGGCGTCGGGCGGATCACGTCACTCAAGTCCGGGTCGTTCAGCACTGAGGCCACGCCGGGGAGCACCGAGGGTGGGTAGGGCTCCGGCAGTCTCCCGGCCATGCGCTGCTGTGGCTGTGGCGGCGGAGGGGGGATCTGTCCTGGCTGTGGAGGGGGGAGCTCCTCAGGGGGCAGCCCCAGGCCAGGCGGGTAGTGCTGCGGCAACTCTGGACCGCTGCCATTTCCTCCGCCTCCTCCGGGACCCATGGGCATGCCGGCACCACCATTGCTGGGGGGTTGCTGGAGGCGCGGGGGGAAGACCATCTGGCCGGGAGGGCCGCACTCCTGAGGCCCCGAGGGCAGCATCATTGGGTTCTGTGGGGGCACATTGCCGTGCATGGGAAGGTTGGCACCCAAGGGACTCGGCGAGGACATCGTGGGGGGTGGGGGCTCATGGGAGAGCGGCTGCTGCCCTGGCAGGTTCATGCCCATGGGGCTTTGGGAAGGGGGCGGCCCCACAGAGTTGAGGTGCATCTGGTTGGGCGGCTGGCTGCTTCCCAAACCTGTAATGGGAGAGAAGAGACCCATCAGTCCCCAGCTCAAGATGGGGCGAGCACCACCACCAATGGAGCCAGCTTAAGAGAAGCTTCTCCACCCAGCACCTGGCTCCAACTGCAGTGAGATCTCCCCTCCTCCCAGAACATCCTGATAGGCACCCATAAGCTGTGTCTCCTTCTTCCAAGAATTCATTGCATAACCCCCCCATCAGCCTCCCCTGAACGCCCCCCCCTCCAGATAACCACCTGCCATGGTGCCGGGCGGAAGCATGGGCCGGTCGGGAAGCATTTCGTCATCAGACGTGGCGATGGTCTTGATGGCGTTGTGGTAGAGCGGGGTGGAGCTGGGCATGGCATACTTGGACATCTGGGACATCATGAGGGACAAGGGGTTCTGGGATGGGGGTGGATCTGGGGAGGAAGGAAAAGGCAGGTTGGGGTTCAGGGGCCCGGTGGTGTTGCTTGGAGGGGCGGAGGAGCTGCTCCGAGGACCAGGAGCCATGGCACCTGCAGCAGGAGACACAACAGCAAAAGGCCTCCGTCACTCGTGGGGTTTCCCTAGTGTTTCTGCGGGGTGGGTTACCAAGTTACTGGGCACTCTGAAACAAGAAATGTTCTAGGTTCTTGTGGGTTTTTCCGGGCTATAGGGCCATGTTCTAGAGGCATTTCTCCTGACGTTTCGCCTGCATCTATGGCAAGCATCCTCAGAGGTAGTGAGGTCTGTTGGAACTAGGAAAATGGGTTTATATATCTGTGGAATGGCTGGGGTGGGGCAAGGAGCTCTTCTCTGCTGGAGCTAGGTGTGAATGTTTCAGCTGAAACAAAATCTGGCTACCAGTATTAAAAAACTCTAAAATTACAACAGCAAAAACAGCAGAGAGGAAACAACCAGGCACATCTTAACACCTCTCAACAAAATTTTCCCAGGCTCAGCCAGGCCTTCAAATGCTAATCAAGGTGGTCAGCTGAAACATTCACACCTAGCTCCAGCAGAGAAGAGTCCTTTGTCTACCCCAGGCATTCCACAGATATATAAACCCATTGTCCTAATTCCAACAGACCTCACTACCTCTGAGGATGCTTGCCATAGATGCAGGCGAAACGTCAGGAGAAATGCCTCTAGAACATGGCCCTATAGCCCGAAAAAACCCACAAGAACCTAGTGATTCCAGCCATGAAAGCCTTCGACAAGAAATGTTCTTTTTCTAATCAATTTTGAAAATATAGATTTTTGGGATATATATATATATATCAAAATGCTATACAAACACACACACACACTGCACTTTGAACTAGCATCAAACCAGCCTCTGCAACCACTTTGCCCTATTCGCAATACATTACTGTAAGAAATATTAAAAATGAACTAGGTATTTTTAGTTACAAAAATGTGAGTTAAGCACTGTTAGAGTTAGTGGGCCAAAATTAGCGTCGTCCTGAGGAGTGTGAGGTAAACCTCAGTGTGAGAGAAGCCTTGTGTGAGAAAGCTCCAGTGTGAAGGCTGCTGCATGTAAAGCTACTATGTATTTGTTTACCTAGATGGGTCAGACCTAGAGTAAAAACCCTCGGTATTTTGTTGAGTTGACACCTCTGAGCCCACCCCCAGTAGATATAGGTCATACACACACACACCCTCCATGTGCCCCTTACCTTGCTCCATGCTGCCCAGGGGCACAGAGTTGCTCATCCCGAGGGTCTGCTTGCTCTGCCCGATGCCGGGGCTGGAGAGGGCGTTCTTGGGGGAAGGTGCCCACCCTGGAGACGGGACCGCCATGGACGGGGACTTGAGGTGGCTGGGAGAGCCGGTGGGCGAGTGGACGCTGAGCACGGAGCTGAGCACCTGGGGCGACTTCATCGGGGCGTTGGTGGTGCCGGTGGCTGGCAGCGCAACCAAGGCGGAGGGCGTCTGCGGGGACTTGAGGCTGGCCGAGGGGGATGCGCCCAGTGGGGAGTGGACCTGGCTGAGGGTGGGGGACTTCAGGCGGCCCATGCCGGGGGAGTGCATCTGCCCCATGTTGAGGGACAGGTCGGAGGGCCGCCGGCCCAGGCCGCGCACAGGTGCTGGGTGCATATTACCGGAGGGGGCGCCGGAGGTGGTGGGCAGTGGGATGTGGGTGAGCCGTGTGGTGCTCCCCATGCCACCCGGCTCCGGGCCAAACATGTCCGGCGCACCCCCCATCTCCTGCGGAACAGCAGGGTAGGGACCTTGCACGGTTGGGAAGCCTTGAGACGGCGGCTGGGGCTGGGGTGGCCCCCCCTGGCCAGGGAATGGGGAGCCCATCATCATTTTCTGAGGGACACCCATCATGGCCTGAGTGCCATTCGGGGCGCGCACCCGACCCATCTCCTCCGCAGGCATCATCTCCGGGCCGCGCATCTTCTGGGACATCAGCATCTGCTGCTGCTGAGGTGTCATCTGCACATTCAAGTTCATGTTCATATTCATGTTGACGTTCATGTTCATGTTGAGGTTTCCCGGGGGGCCCAGGCCCGGCTCCATGTCCCGCAGGGGAGGGCTCAGCATGGCCCGCGACGCCCCAAACTCCATGCCCAGACCTTCCCCGGCAAACATGGCTGGATCCACCTGCCGGTGTGTCTGCATCATGCGCTCCATCTCCATCCCCAGCGGGCGCTGCATCCCGCCCTGGCGCTTCTCCAGCAGCTGGTGACGCAGCATCTCCTCTCTTGCACGCGGCGTCAGGAAGCGTTCGGCTTCGCCCTGTGGTGGGTATGGCAGGTTCCCCGGGCCAAAGTTGCCTGGCCCCGCCATGGGGGGCATCTCTTCGCTCCAGGTCATGCCAGGCCTTACTGGCCGCTGCATGGGGCCCATGGGGCCCAGCGATTCCAGAGGCAGGTTCTGCATGCCACCAAAGCCCCTCTGCATCTGGTTGCCTGCAAAACGGGGCCCACCGAAGGGTGCTCGGAGCTGCATCTGCTCCTGCATCTCCATGGGCACGCCGCGCAGGAGCCACTGCTCTCCAGGCTTGCTGTGGTAGGGGGGTGGGGGCCCACGCAGCATCATGCCCCCCATGGGCTGGGGCAGCATCATGTCCGGGAGGGGCCGCCCGCCGTGCATGCCCACCTGCTCCTCCTTGCGCCGCTTCTCCTCATAGTACTCCTCCTGCAGCTTGCGCCAGGCCACCTGCTCCGGCGTCAGGCTGTCCTGGCCCAGCCGTTGCATCATCATGTTCATCTGCTGCCCCATGTCCACTCCAGGGGGCACCGGTGGCCCCTCTGGTTCCAACCCAGGTCCCCCCAGGCTCTGGGTCTGCGAAATCATGGACTGCAGCGGCTCTTCGTACTTCTTCAGGCCAGGCCCCGGGGGTGGTGGAGGGGGTGCCTGTGGGGGCTGTGGCGGAGGCCCCCCCTGTGGGGGAAGAGGCCCCCCATCACCACCCCCAGGCCCCCCCTTGAGGAAGGGCTCGGCCTCAGTGCTGCGCAAGAGCAAGCGCTCAATGTCCCGCAGGGTCTGTAGGGAGCGCTCCCGGTGCTCCAGCTGCTCCTTGGAGAGTCCTTCTGTGTTGAGGGCACTGCGCGGTCCATTCCCAGTAGAAGGGGCCCCAGGGTTGGGCCCCTCACCCAGCAGGCTGTCTGGCCCCCCGGAGGGCAAGGGGCCAGGCGCGGTGGGCGTGTTGGGGTGGGTGCCCCCAGGCGCAGCGCTGCCATTGCTGCCGTGCCCCACGGAGTTGGGTGTCAGCTCCTGGCAGCCATCCTCAGGAGGACCCTCCTGGGGGAGGGGCCCTTGTCCCAGGGCCTGCAGGGCGGGGGCTGACGTGGGCTGGGAAGGCGTCCCTGGAGGAGGCGGTGGCGGTGGGCCTTGGGCCTGACTGCTGGGCGGCATGGTGGGCGGTGCGTGGGGAGTCCCGGCAGGTGACGGAGTGATGGGCAGCGGCTCCGGGGTGGGCTGGACCTTCGGGAGGGGGACCTGCTGGGAAGAGGACCAACAAAGTTAGTGCAAAGAGAGGGCCACATTTCTATTACTCCCTCTGGCAGCAAACCCCTTTCCAACCCACCCAGTGCTCCCAGTACTTCAGGGATGATGGGAACTCCAGACCAAACCCTATGCTGTTCCCACCTTACAGTTTGACTCCCGTTACGCCTCCTACCTGGTCCAGCTTTGCCCGGGGCACATGCTGCTGGTGGTAGCCCAGGATGGAATCCGCACGGCCCTGAAGGACAGCCTCTGCGGCCCTGTGGGCACAGGAAACAACACACAGGGGAAGTCAGAGGTCATTTGAGGCGGTGTCACAAAGGGCTGTGGATTGAGTCCTGGTCCTCCATGAATCAGGACAGTCCTGGTCACTCAAAAGGAAGGGAGGGAGGAACTGTGCAAGATGCGGGCCACAAGGACAGAGGGAGGAACGAAACCCATCATCCACTCATCCCCCCTGCTGTGGGGATCTCCCCCTGCACTGGAGCTGTGGACGAGCCTCACTTGAACCCCAAGGAGAGAACAGGGTGATGTTGGCAGGCCGAAGGGCAAAGGAGAGAACCCCAAGGGAGCTGTTTCCAGGCCGAAGGGCAATCCCGCTTACGTGTTGGCCAGATGCGTGGTGAAGACATAGACAAACTGCAGTGGTGGCTTCCCTCCACCATTGCCGGCGTCCGGCCGCAGACCCGGGCCGCTGCTGTGCGTTGGGCCGGTGGCGTTGCTCTCGCTCAGGGCTGGCAGCGCGTTGGATCCAGGGCCCAGCTGGGAGCCAGCGCTCATTGCCGACTCTGCTACGTTACAGTCTAGGAGGGAAAGGGATGCGGAGGGTCAACCAGGCATCCCTTCCCTAATATGAATCAGGAAACACATTGCAAAGTTATACCATCTTAATCCCAGTCTTGGCAGGCATGTAGCCGGGGGGGGGGGGGGGCTTGAGGGGCTTCAGCCCCCCCCGAAATTCTCATGGTGGTTCGCGAAAAGGCCTTACTGGTGCATTATTTAAACTGTTATGGTTATTCATATCATGATCTGATCACCATACTCAATATATCCCATATGCATGGGGGTATTGGGGTAATGATACAAAAGGTTTGCTAGGGTAGACCCTCTTTCACTCAGACCCAGCCCCCCCCCCCGAAACTCAGCCCCCGAAACCCCCCCCCCCCCCCCCCCCGAAACGAAATCCTGGCTACGGGCCTGAGTCCTGGGATGGACTCATTGAGAGTCCACGAGAGCGGACTACAACTCTTCAGTGGAGAACCCAATCCTTTCACCCAAAAAACGACAAATCTGTTTGTGTATGAATTTTCTGCTGTTAGCCGGCCTGAGTCCCTCTTCGGAGGTCGAGAAGACCGGGTTATAAAAGCTCTAAATCCCGATAATCCATAGGATACTTGGATATTCCTTAACAATACTAGTTTGTTTCCTATAGGAATCCAGCAGATGGCAGTGTGCAAGGAGAAATCCCCAAAACAGAGTCTCTTTGCTGCTGCGAGGCTGGCCACCCCACCGAAAATGCTTTCGAAAATCAGCCTGCCATTGCAACTGAAGGCACGGTCCCTGCTGCAAAGGCTGGGGAAAGTAGGGCAAGGCTGGCGAAGTGTACATGTGGGAGCCTCTTGATGGATGCACAATAGTGATTAGAAAGCGGAAGGATGGGTATTTTTTATTTTATAATTCTACATATATAATATGTAGAGAGATGGGCCAAAACTAACAAAATGAAGTTCAACAGTGACAAATGCAAGATACTCCACTTTGGCAGGAAAAACAAAATGCAAAGATACAGAATGGGGGACAATGAGGCCTGGCTCGAGAGCAGTACGTGTGAAAAAGATCTTGGAGTCCTCGTGGATAGGAAGTTAAACATGAGCCAACAATGTGATGTGGCAGCAAAAAAAGCCCATGGGATTTTGGCCTGCATCAATAGGAGCCTAGTGTCTAGATCTAGGGAAGTCATGCTACCCATGCTCTATTCCGCTTTGGTTGGACCACAACTGGAATATTGTGTCCAATTCTGGGCACCACAATTCAAGAGAGATATTGACAAGCTGGAATGTGTCCAGAGGAGGGCGACTAAAATGATCAAGGGTCTGGAGAACAAGCCCTATGAGGAGCGGCTTAAGGAGCTGGGCATGTTTAGCCTGAAGAAGAGAAGGCTGAGAGGAGATATGATGAGGGCCATGTATAAATATGTGAGAGGAAGCCACAGGGAGGAGGAGGGAGCAAGCTTCCTTTCTGCTTCCTTGGAGACTAGGACGCAAGGGAACAATGGCTTCAAACTACAAGAGAGGAGATTCCATCTGAACACGAGGAAGAACTTCCTGACTGTGAGAGCCGTTCAGCAGTGGAACTCTCTGCCCCGGAGTGTGGTGGAGGCTCCTTCTTTGGAAGCTTTTAAACAGAGGCTGGATGGCCATCTGTCAGGGGTGATTTGAATGCAATATTCTTGCTTCTTGGCAGAATGGGGTTGGACTGGATGGCCCAGGAGGTCTCTTCCAACTCTAGGATTCTATGATTCTATGATTCTATATGATTGGCGGCAACATTTAATTTTGTTGTACGATGTGCAATGGCAATAAAGTTATTCTACTCTGATGTTCTCTTATGCACAAAGATTATCACACGACACTGTTATAGCGCTGCGACTCCACTTTAACTGTGGAGTCCTGGGATCTGCAGTTTGGGGAGAGCCCTTTATAATTATCGGTTAGAGAGATCCAGTCAAAAGGCTGAACAGGGCATAGGGTTACAGCCTGTGCTGGACGGGGTCGCACTCCCCCTGAAGATGCAGGTTCGCAGCTTGGGAGTGATCCTGGACTCATCGCTGAGCCTGGAGCCCCAGGTTTCGGCGGTGGTCAGGGGAGCTTTTGCACAATTAAAACTTGTGCGCCAGCTGCGCCCGTACCTTGGGAAGTCTGACTTGGCCACGGTGGTCCACGCTCTGGTTACATCCCGTATAGACTACTGCAACGCTCTCTATGTGGGGACTGAAGACTGCCCGGAAGCTTCAACTAGTCCAACGAGCGGCAGCCAGATTACTAACAGGAGCGGGGTACAGGGAGCATAGTCTCCCAAAGCAGTTGCTCTACTCTGAACTTAAGAATGAAAAACGGAACGTTGGTGGACAGGAAAAGAGATTTAAAGATGGGCTCAAAGCCAACCTTAAAATCTCTGGCATAGACATTGAGAACTGGGAAGCCCTGGCCCTTGAGTGCTCCAGCTGGAGGTCAGTTGTGACCAGCAGTGCTGCAGAATTCGAGGAGGCACGAGTGGAGGGTGAAAGAGAGAAACGTGCCAGGAGGAAGGCACGTCAAGCCAACCCCGACCGGGACCGCCTTCCACCTGGAAACCAATGCCTTCACTGTGGGAGAAGATGCGGGTCAAGAATAGGGCTCCACAGCCACCTACGAATCCACAAGGAAACCCATCATGGAAGACCATCTTACTCGTCCAACGAGGGATCGCCTAAGTAAGTAAGTAAGTACAGGGAGCATACTACTCCTCTGTTGCATCAGCTCCACTGGCTTCCAATTAGCTTCCGAGCACAATTCAAAGTGCTGGTGTTGACCTATAAAGCCCTAAACGACTCTGGCCCAGTTTACCTGTCCGAACGGATTCTCCCCTATGAACCTGTCCGAACGGATTCTCCCCTATGAACCATCAAGATTATTAAGATCTTCTGGAGGGGCCCTGCTCTCGGTCCCACCTCCTTCGCAATCGCATCTGGTGGGGACGAGGGGCAGGGCCTTCTCGGGGGTGGGCCCTCGGCTCTGGAACTCTCTCCCATTGGAGATTAGATCTGCCTCTTCCCTCCTGACTTTCAGAAAGCTGGTAAAAACCTAGCTTTGGAATATAGCATTTGCAGAATGATGATCGAGTCAATAACGGCTGACCACACCGGCGGATGGTGATGAATTTGTGATTTTACTCTGATGACCTGGCTTTTGTAATTGTATGATACTGTACGATCGGGATTCTAATGTAATTTGTATTAATGTATTATGAGGCTATTATGTTTACTCTGTTTGTGTATGCATTTCCTGCTGTTAGCCGGCCTGAGTCCCTCTTCGGAGGCCGAGAAGACCGGGTTATAAAAGCTCTAATTAAATATAAATAAATAATAAATAAATGGGCCTCACTCCACTCCACACCCCGGGATTCCACAAGAGGAAGCCATAGCGATTAACGGCGCGGTGCGATAATCTCCCAAGTGCACTCGCTGCCATCTCTGTGAAACGCTGCTTGGGGTGCGAATGAGCCTCCACCTGGGGGCATCCCTTGACCTCTCGCCCTGTGCCCAGCGCCCGGTCAGCAAGAGACTCACTGTGGGTGCCGCCGCCCAGCGGCTTCTCGTCCTCCTCGCTGTCCGGTCCGGAGCACCATTCGTCCCCGCTGTAGGGCTGCTTCCGCTCCAGGACGCAGCGGCGCTTGCTCCGAGGGGCCACTTCTCCTGGAAGAGAAGGAAGGCCCGCTGTCAGACACCTCCCTGCCCTCTGCGCTTGCGGGGACGGGGAGTGGGGTGCCGAGGTGGACAGGGAGCCAAAGCGGGGAAGGCCGCGCCACCGCCGCCCCGAGGGCCACCCCCATGCGGCAAAAGAGGGAGGAGGGGGGCCTGGGCGGGGGGCTGGAGTCCTGCCGGCCCCCCTCCTCACCTGTCGGCTCCTTGTCCAGTGTGGTGGCCGCCGGGCCGGCTTCCCGCCGCTCTCCCGAGTCCACCGAGACACTCCTCTCCCGCTTGGCTTTGCCCTTCGCGCCCCCAAAGGCGGGGCTGGGGGCCGGGCCGCTTTTCAGTCTGCCGGGGTTGCCGACCTTGCTGCCGCCATTGCCTCCGGCGGCACCTCCGCCGTGGCCGCCTGTCCCCCCGCCGTGGCCGCCTCCTCCTCCGCCTCCACCGCCCTTGGTGCCCAGGTTGCAGGTGGGGCTGTGGCTCACGTGGTGGGGCTGGGAGGAGGGGGCGCCCGGGCCGTTACCTGTGGTCTTTCCATGGCTGGTCAGTTTATTGTCTGGGTGCATTTGACTGGCTGGGGCTTCGGGCCGCGACTCTAGAGGAGCCCCCGAGCCTCTGCGGCGGTGGCTGCAGCGGACGCGTCCCTCCGAGGGAAAGGCTCCTGCGAGGAAGAGGAAGAGAAGGAAGACATGGGTCAGATCCTGGCCGGAGGTCAAGCATCCACTGGTCAAGGCACCCCTTTCACCCCAGCCTATATTATTATTATTATTATTATTATTATTATTATTATTATTATTATTGGGTGGTGCAATTGGTTAAACCCTTGTGCCAGAAAGACTGAAGACTGACAGGTTGGAGGTTCTAATCCGGGAAGAGGGTGGATGAGCTCCCTGTGTCAGCTCCAGCTCCTCATGCAAGGACATGAGAGAAGCCTCCCACAAGGATGGCAAAACAACAAAACATAAGGGCAACATCCCCTAGAATCATAGAGTTGGACGGGAAGAGATGGATGAGCTCCCTCTGTCAGCTCCAGCTCCCCATGCAGGGACATGAGAGCAGCCTCCCACAAGGATAGTAAAACATCAAAACATCTGGGCAACATCCCCTAGAATCATAGAATCATAGAGTTGGACGAGACCTCATGGGCCATCCAGTCCAACCCCATTCTGCCAAGAAGCAGGACAATTGCGTTCAAAGCACCCCCAACAGATAGCCACGGGTGGTGCAATTGGTTAAACCCTTGTGCCAGAAAGACTGAAGACTGACAGGTTGGAAGTTCTAATCCAGGAAGAGGGTGGATGAGCTCCTTCTGTCAGCTCCAGCTCCCCATGCAGGGACATGAGAGAAGCCTCCCACGAGGATGGTAAAACATCAAAACATCTGGGCAACATCCCCTAGAATCATAGAAACCTCATGAGAGACCTCATGGGCCATCCAGTCCAACCCTCTGCCAAGATGCAGGACAATTGCGTTCAAAGCACCCCCAACAGATAGCCACCCAGTCTCTGTTTAGAGATCTCCATAAAAACCTTCCCTGGTCAACGTCCTCGCAGATGGCCCATTTTCTTACACCAGAAGTAACTTGAAGTTTCTCAAGTCGCTCCAGATGCAAAAAATATATTATTATTATTATTATTATTATTATTATTATTATTATTATTACTATTATATTTATACCCCGCATTATCTCCACCAAAGGGGACCCAAAGTGGCTTTGCATAAAAGCATCAGCATAACCATGGAAAACATATAAATATACGAACATTAAAACAGGATTAAACATAAACATTACTTTTAAAATTCCCAGTGGAAAATCATTAAAATGAATTCAAAGTTATGGAACTATTTTGGGTGGCCCTTAAAAAAATCCCAAGACTACAGATTTCAGAATGTGTACCACTATTTCTATTCAGCAGCAAAGCAAAAATAATAATACAAAAAGTGCATGTTTATCAACAATACGGCCATATCTGCAGCCATCTAACTAGTCCAGGCAGGAACTAACGGTCTCAGGACCTTTCCTTTAAGCCACAGTGGTCCACGCTCTTGTGACATCCCGATTAGATTACTGCAACGCACTCTACGTGGGGTTGCCTTTGAAGACTGTTCGGAAACTGCAACTAGTCCAGCGGAAGGCAGCCAGAGTACTCACAGGAGCGTCATACAGGGAGCATACCACCCCTCTGTTGTGTCAGCTCCACTGGCTGCCGATCCAGTTCCGAGCACAATTCAAAGTGCTGGTTTTGACCTACAAAACCCTATACGGTTCCGGCCCAGCTTACTTGTCCGAACGCATCCACTCCTACATCCCACCTCGAAACCTAAGATCATCTGGGGAGGCCTGCTCTCACTCCTGTCAACAGCTTAAGTGAGATTGGTGGGGACGAGGAGCAGGGCCTTCTCGGTGGTGGCCCCTCACCTGTGGAATTCACTCCCCGGGGAAATTAGATCAGCGACATCCCTCCTTGCCTTCAGGAAAAAACTGAAAACATGGATTTGGGACCAGGCATTCGGACAATCTGGTAGATAAAGAAAGGACCTTGACGATGGACAGGAATTGACTACGTGGAATGGAATTATGGAACTCTGAAAGATGAACGCTGACTATTAGATTAATTTTATTGATTGTGTTATGTACAGTTGTTTTTAACTGTGATAATTGTTTTTAACTGCTGTTCTGTACGTTTGTGTATTTTGTTCAGGGATCGAATTGTGCCTTTTTGTAAGCCGCCCTGAGTCCCTCCTCGGGGGTTGAGAAGGGCGGGGTAGAAGTACTTGAAATAAATAAATAAATAAATAAGCGGCTGAAGGGGAAAAGGAAAGGGCCTGAGGCTGATAGGAATGATGGGAGCTGAAGTCCAAAACACCTGGAGAGAAAAGCCCAAGTTGTCCCATACCTGCTGTAAACCCAATCCAGGGGACCCATGAGGCCAGAGGACACACTCCACAAACAGTCTACAGCAGCGGTTCTCAACCTGTGGGTCCCCAGATGTTTTTGGCCTTCAACTCCCAGAAATCCTAACAGCTGGCAAACTGGCTGGGATTTCTGGGAGTTGTAGGCCAAAAACATCTGGGGACCCCCGGTTGAGAACCACTGGTCTACAGGAAGGGGACTGAGGCTGTGTGGAATGGTGGGAGTTGAAGTCCAAAACACCTGGAGGGGAGGCCAAAGTTTTGCCCATGCCTAGTACAACTGCACAGTGTGGATACACTCCCAATTTGCACAACCTTTTTGGGCACCCGGTAAGCTGAAGAGCGGCCCACGGCCTTGTCTTTGGAGCCACGAAGGGCTAAGCTGAGTGGATCGGAAGGAGTCCTTGGCTGCGCATCCGATGTACCAATGCACACACACAACGGCATCCCTAGTCTAGCTTCTGGGTGCTCTGCCGCCCTGCAGAGACCCAGGAAACGCCAACCAAAGCAACATCAAGAGATTGAGAAGTGCATGACAACAACAATGCCTCCAACAGCATCCCACTGGGAAGGGTTTGCTGCCCAGCGGGAGAGGAAGGTCTCCGTGTCTTGACCCCTTTGCAGCAAGTCCTGCTTCGTAGTGGCCCAAATGCCACAGGGATGGCAAACAATGATAGCTCTCCTTAATGGCATTTCAAAGCCAATGCAGTGCTCTTGGGAGGAAGGAACCTGTATCTCTCTCTGGGTTGCTGTATGTTTCCATGTTCCAGAAGCATTCTCTTCTGACGTTTCACCTGCATCTGTGGCAAGCATCCTCAGAGGTTGTGAGGTCTGTTGGAAACTAGGAAAATGGGGTTTATATATCTGTGGAATATATATACAATCAGGGGAATATAAGAAAGGGGAGCTCCAGACAAGAAATAATCAGGGACAGCTAATCACCTCTCAACAAAGGATTCCCCCAGGCAGTAAGAAGCCACACCTTGAAAACTGCTAGGCCATTAAACGTTAATCAAGATGGTCAATTGCAATGATCGCACCTGCCTCCAACAGACAAGAGTTCTTTCTCCCACCTTGGACATCATTCCACAGATATATAAACCCTACTTGCCTGGTTTCCAACAGACCTTACCACTAGGCTTGGGCAATCCATGGTTCTAAATGGTTCTAAAGTACTTACAAAACTAAAGTTCTGGTGGTGAAAATTTCAGAACTCTAACAAAACTCTCAAAATTTCATAATAAATGGCAGTTCCTAATTGGTTCTGTCATTAAAATCACCAATAATGAAATAATAATTAAATTTTGAAAGTTTTGTTAGAGTTCTTTCATGCCGGAATCACTCAGTTCTTGTGGGTTTTTTCGGGCTATATGGCCATGTTCTAGAGGCATTTCTCCTGACGTTTCGCCTGCATCTATGGCAAGCTTCCTCAGAGGTGAGGTCTGCTGGAGCTGGGAAAAAGGGGTTTATATATCTGTGGAATGACCAGGGTGAGACAAAAGGCTTTTGTAAGTTGGGCTAGGTGTGAATCTTTTCAACTGACCACCTTGATTAGCATACAATGGGCTGACTGTGCCTGGAGCAAACTCTTCTTGAAAGGTGATTAAATGTCCCTGCCTGTTTTTCTCTCTGCTGTTTTAATTTTAGAATTTTTTAATACTGGTAGCCAGATTTTGTTCATTTTCATGGTTTCTTCCTTTCTGTTGAAATTGTCCACATGCTTCTTGTGGATTTCAATGGCTTCTCTGTGTAGCCTGACATGGTGGTTGTGAGAGTGGTCCAGCATTTTTGTGTTCTCAAATAACATGCTGTGTCCAGGCTGGTTCCTCAGGTGCTCTGCTATGGCTGACTTCTCTGGTTGAAGCATAGTCTGCAGTGCCTTTCATGTTCCTTGATACGTGTCTGGGCGCTGCGTTTGGTGGTCCCTATGTAGACTTGTCCACAGCTGCATGGTATACGGTAGACTCCTGCAGAGGTGAGAGATCCCTCTTGTCCTTTGCTGAACGTAGCATTTGTTGGATTTTCTTGGTGGGTTTGTAGATTGTTTGTATGTTGTGTTTCCTCATCAGTTTTCCTATGCGATCAGTGGTTCCCTTGATGTATGGCAGGAACACTTTTCCTCTGGGTGGATCTTTGTCTTGACTGTCTCCAGGGCTTGTTTTTCAAAGTGTTCCATGTAGAAGTTAGCTATGACTGGGCTGAGAGGGCTCCCCATAGCTACTCCATCTTTCTGTTCGTAGAATTCATTGTCCCACTGAAAATAGCTGGTGGTGAGGCAATGGTGAAACAGCGCCGTGATGTCTTCTGGGAACCTCTGGTTGATGAGTGCCATGGTGTCTGCAACTGGGACCATGGTAAATAGAGACACCACATCGAAGCTGATCAGTTTGTCATTTGTATTTAGCTTGAGATTGCTGATTTTTTCAATGAAGTGGGCTGAGTCCTTGATGTAGTGTGTTGTGAGCCCAATATGGCTTTGTAACTGTGCAGCAAGAAATTTTGCTAAGTCGTATGTGGGGGATCCAATGGCACTCATGATGGGTCTGAGTGGGGTGGAGTCCTTATGGATTTTTGGGAGTCCATAAAGCCTGGGTGGAAGGGCTTTCCGATTTACATAGCTGTTGTCGTATGTCAAAGTTGATTGAGGAGTTCTTAATCAGAGTGTTGGTTTTTCTGGTTATTTTGGAAGTTGGACTTCTAAATGGAACAATTTGAAAAACAAGCTCTTGAAACAGCAACCAAAAAGCCCACTATATGGTTCAGATATGTGGATGACACTTTCACCATTTGGAGCCATGGAGAAGAAGAACTCAACAGGTTCCTGGAACATCTTAACAGCATCCACCCAAAAATCCAGTTCACAATGGAAAAAGAAAAGGAAGGAAGACTGCCTTTTCTAGATGTCCTAGTCATCCGCAAACCAGATCAACAATTGGGTCACACCGTCTATTATATATCTGTGATTCTCCCAGGTAGGAAGCAGCCAGACCTTGAAACTGCTAGGCCATTAAATGCTAATCAGTGGCCAATTGCAACATTCTCACTTGCCTCCAATAGACAAAGTTCTTTCTCCCACCTTGGACATCATTCCACAGATACATAAACCCCACTTGCCTAGTTTCCAACAGATCTCACAACCGTTGAAGATGCCTGCCACAGATGCAGGAGAAACATCAGGAGAGAATGCTGCTGGAATATGACCAGACAGCCCAATAAAATTACAGCAACCCAGTGATTCCGGCCATGAAAGCCTTCGACAACACATTGTATCTCTCTCCCATCCATCCATCTATCCATCCATCCATCCATGGCGGCCACTGAGACTGACCTTCCGTGCCCTCCAGCCAGGCTCTTCCTGCCTCCTGGTGCAAGAGAGGGAGGGGGGCACCCATAGAAGGGAAGGTTTCCTCGGGACGCGACCTCTCACCCCGTCAGCAGGCGGCAACAAGCCCATGGCATCCGCCTCCGGCTTGACCACCATCCCTCCTTGGCTAGCTGGACCTCAATCCAACAAGCCAGACTGCGGGCAAAGGTGCCTCCTGGAGGTGGGAGGGCAGGGGGAGGCCCATGGTGGCTTGACCGGTCAGTGGCGGAAGAGGGTGCCCCTGTCCCTTTAAGGGCCAGCCGGCCACACTGCTGGGTCTCTGGGGGCAAGAGAGAGGGGGCCCTATTAATAGCCGCTGGAAAGATCACATCACTCTGGGGATATTTATACCCCTGGTCACACACACACACACACACACACACACACCCGGGAGAGCTTCAGGCTGCCCAACCCAGGAGGAGGAAGGGACAAGAGGGGCTGCTGCGCATGAGTGCATGCATGCACACAGAGGAGGAGGAGGAGGAGGAGGAGGAAGACCCAGCCCTTCCTCCAAGGGTCATCAACGCCACCTCCCAGCCCTGGCCTAAAAATGAATGCTGGGCCCTAAGCATTGTTGCTAAGCATTGTTGCCTCTCTTTGCAAAGCTTAGGGCAACTAACAGAGTCCAGGGGAACAACAACAACAACAACAACAATCTATATTGTTGTCTCGACGCCCAGGTTGTGAAACACTGGCTTAGGGCAACTAACAGAGTCCAGGGGAACAACAACAACAACAACAACAACAATCTATATTGTTGTCTCGACGCCCAGGTTGTGAAACACTGGCTTAGGGCAACTAACAGAGTCCAGGGGAACAATAATAATAATAATAATAATAATAATAATAATAATAATAATAATAATAATAATCTATATAAACAAAAATGTAATGTTCGTTTGTGGGATTAACAGAACTCAAAAACCACTGGACGAATTGCCACCAAATTTGGACACACAGAAAATACTGTGTCTTCTGATGGGTCTTTGGTGACCCCTCTGACATCTCCTCACAACCCCCCCCCCCCCGGGTCTCGACGTCCAGGTTGTGAAACACTGGCTTAGGGAAACTAACAGAGTCCAAGGGAACAACAACAACAACAACAACAACAACAACAACAATAATAATAATAATAATCTGTATAAACAAAAATGTAATGTCCGTTTGGGCAACTAACAGAGTCCAGGGGAATAATAATAATAATAATAATAATAATAATAATAATAATGTATATAAACAAAAATGTAATGTTCGTTTGTGGGATTAACAGAACTAAAAAACCACTGGACGAATTGGCACCAAATCTGGACACACAGAAAATATTGTCTTCTGATGGTCTTTGGTGACCCCTCTGACATCTCCTGACCCCCCCCCCAGGGATCCTGACCCCCAGGTTGTGAAACACTGGCTTAGGGCAACTAACAGAGTCCAAGGGAACAACAACAACAACAACAACAACAACAATAATAATAATAATAATAATCTGTATAAACAAAAATGTAATGTCCGTTTGGGCAACTAACAGAGTCCAGGGGAACAATAATAATCAGCATCATCATCATCATCATCATCATCATCTATATAAACAAAAATGTAATGTTCGTTTGTGGGATTAACAGAACTCAAAAACCACTGGACGAATTGCCACCAAATTTGGACACACAGAAAATACTGTGTTTTCTGATGGTCTTTGGTGACCCCTCTGACATCTCCTCATGACCCCCCCCTAGGGGTCCCGACCCCCAGGTTGTGGAACATTGGCTTAGGGCAACAAACAGAGTCCAGGGGAACAGGAACAACAACAACAACAACAATAATAATAATCTTTATATATATATATATATAAATGCTCTGTGCATAATGAGTACCTTAAAAACAAAAGAACCAATGAACGAAATCACACCAAATTTGGCAACAAAACGTCTCACAACACAAGGAGTGACCATCACTCAAAAAAATATAATTTTGTCATTTGGGAGTTGTAATTGCTGGGCTTTATAGTTCACCTACAATCAAAGAGCATTCTGAACCCCACCAATGATGGAATTGAACCAAACGTGGCACACAGGACTCCCATGACCAAACAGAAACACTAGAAGGGTTTAGTGGGCATTGACCTTGAGTTTTGGAGTTGTAGTTCACCTACATTCAGAGAGCACTGGTGGATCTGGACCACACTTGGCATGGATACTCAATGTGCCCAAATGTGAACACTGATGGAGTTTGCGGATAACAGACCTTGACATTTGGGAGTTGTAGTTGCTGGGATTTATAGTTCACCTACAATCAAAGCGCATTTTGAACCCCATTAATGATAGAATAATAATAATAATAAACTTTATTTATACCCTACATGGAACCCTCATGAGAAAACAGAAAATACTGTCTTCTGATGGTCTTTGGTGACCCATCTGACATCTCCTCACGACCCCCCCCCAGGGGTCTCGACCCCCAGGTTGTGAAACACTGGCTTAGGGCAACTAACAGAGTCCAAGGGAACAACAACAACAACAACAATCAAAGAGCATTCTGAACTTCACCAATGATGGGATTGGGCCAAACTTGGCACACAGAACTCCCATGACCAACAGAAACTACTGAAAGGGTTTGGTGGGCAATGACGTTGAGTTTGGGAGTTGTAGTACACCTACACCCAGAGAGCACTGTGGACTCAAACCATGATGGAGCTGGACCAAACTTGGCACCATATGCCCACATATGAACACAGATGGAGTTTGGGGAAAACAGACCTTGACATTTGGGATTTGTACTTACTAGGATTTATAGTTCACCTACAATTAAAGAGCATTCTGAACCCCACAAATGACAGAATTGGGGCACATTTCCCACACAGAACCCCCCTGACCAACAGAAAATACTTAAGGTCACTCTCCAACTCCCTTCACAGGGCAAGAAAACGTAATCAAAGCCCTCCTGACAAAGAGCCATCCAGCCATAGATATAAATAGATATTATTCACACACACATGCACACACATAGTATGATAGATGTGAAAGGGACCCCTAAACAAGGAGAATTATATGTTGCATGTTCCAGAGTAGGACCAGGAAGAGAGCATTTTTCAAATTTTGTGACATAGTGCAATGTTCCCTGGGTTTGGGCATGCAATAATCATGTTCTCCTGGGTTTGTGAATGCAATAACCATGTTCTCTTGGGTTTGCACATGCAATAACCATGTACTCCAAGGTTTGGGCTTACAATAATCATGTTCTCCAGGGTTTGTGCATACAATAACCATGTTCTTCTGGGTTTGCACTTGCAATAACCATGTTCTCCTGGGTTTGTGCATGCAATAACCATGTTCTCTTGGGTTTGCACATGCAATAACCATGTACACTCCAAGGTTTGGGCTTACAATAATCATGTTCTCCAGGGTTTGTGCATGAGATAACCATGTTCTCCTGGGTTTGTGCATACAATAACCATGTTCTCCTGGGTTTGTGCTTGCAACAACCATGTTTTCCTGGGTTTGTGAATGCAATAACCATGTTCTCTTGGGTTTGCACATGCAATAACCATGTACTCCAAGGTTTGGGCTTACAATAATCATGTTCTCCAGGGTTTGTGCATGAGATAACCATGTTCTCCTGGGTTTGTGCATACAATAACTATGTTCTTCTGGGTTTGCACTTGCAATAACCATGTTCTCCTGGGTTTGTGCATGCAATAAGCATGTTCTCGATCTGTGTCCACTCCCTGCATGCCAGGATCCCCCGGTCCCTGCCAGGAAGCCTCCCAGCCTCGGCTCCTCCGTTGCGCAAGTCTGGCGGCTCCTCCTTGTTTACTCCTGTGCGGAGTTATGTGGGAAGTCCTCCAAAGACGAAACCCAGCCGAGGACGACGCAGGGAAAGAGCCACCAAGAAGGGAAGGGAAAGGAGTTGCCCAGCCCCACTTCTGTTCCACTTCGCCGCAAGAAATAGTAGAGACCCCCAAACACAATGCTCAAACTGTTCCTTCTCACCCACCATAGCCTCCAGTTAATCCAACTTCGCCCATCTATCTATATCAGGCATGGGGCAACTTCGGCCCTCGTAGGGGAAGGAATAGATGGTTCTTGGAGTCTCTTCCAACTCTTGGGTCCAATGATTATAATGGTGGTGGTGATGGAGTCTCCTTCTCCAGAGGCTTTGAAGCAGAGGTTGGGTGGCCATCTGTCGGGTGGGCTCTGATTGTGCCTGGCAGGGGGTAGAACAGATGGGTTTTGGGGTCTCTTCTAACATTTGGGTCCAATGATGATGGTGGTGGTGATGGAATCTCCTTCTCTAGAGGCTTTTAAGCAGAGGCTGGGTGGCCATCTGTAGGGAGGGCTCTGATTGTGCCTGGTAGGGGGTGGAATAGATGGATCTTGGAGTCTCTTCCAACTCTTGGGTCCAATGATGATGATGTTGATGGTGATGGAGTCTCGAGGCTGGGTGGCCATCTGTAGGGAGGGCTCTGATTATGCCTGGTAGGGGGTGGAATAGATGGATCTTGGAGTCTCTTCCAACTCTTGGATCCAATGATGATGATGGTTATGGAGTCTCGAGGCTGGGTGGCCATCTGTTGGGAGGGCTTTGTGCCTGGCAGGGGGTGGAATAGATGTCCCTTGGGGTCTCTTCCAACTCTTGGATCCAATGATGATGATGGTTATGGAGTCTCGAGGCTGGGTGGCCATCTGTTGAGAGGGCTTTAATTGTGCCTGGTAGGGGGTGAACTAGATGGCTCTTGGAGTATCATCCAAATCTTGGGTCCAATGATAATGATGGTGATGGAGTCTTGAGGCTGGGTGTCCATCTGTTGGGAGGGCTTTGATTGTGCCTGGTAGGGGGTGAACTAGATGGCTCTTGGGGTCTCTTCCAATACTTGGGTCCAATGATGATGATGTTGATGGTGATGGAGTCTCTAGGCTGGGTGTCCATCTGTTGAGAGGGCTTTGATTGTGCCTGGCAGGGGGTGGAATAAATGTCCCTTGGGGTCTCTTCCAACTCTTGGGTCCAATGATGATAATGATGGTGATGGAGTCTCAAGGCTGGGTGTCCATCTGTTGGGAGGATTTTGATTGTGCCTGGTAGGGGGTGGACTAGATGGCTCTTGAAGTCTCTTCCAACTTTTGGGTCCAATGATGACAATGACGGTGATGAAGTCTCGAGGCTGGGTGTCCATCTGGTGGGAGGGCTTTGATTGTGCCTGGTAGGGGGTGGACTAGATGACCCTTGGGGTCTCTTCCAACGCTAAGTAGTGGTGGGAGGTGGCCATGGTAGGCC